ATAATAATAATAATAATAATAATAATAATAATAATAATAATAATAATAATAATAATAATAATAATAATAATAAAATTTTTACCTATATACATGTTTCGGATTTAATACTGCTTTATCTTCATTTAATATACTAATTGCTAGTATAATATAATTTTGTTTTCTGCCAATATTTCGACCATCTCTACCAATTTTTAAATTAATTTTATCACCAGAATAAAGAACAGGTAGCTTAGATGTAGTTAAAATTGGCACCAAAACTATTAATAAAGATCCAATCGATCGATAGATAGCATTTTCCATTTTATGATCATCCAACTCTACAATTCTATTTTCTACAATATCTTCCTTAAGTTCTAATGTTTGATCAATATTAAATAAAACTATTGGTAAATGTTGTTTCATTTGATTATTAATGTTTTTATGTTGCTGTTCAACTAAATACTCTCAAACCATATTTGAATCTACAGCTGCCAATTTTCGGTATCCATCACGGGAAATTAACATTTCATCACATATTCGAACAAGAGAGTTACAATATTGTTTGTTTTCATTTTTAAGTTGATAATCGAGAGTTATATCTTTATCCATAATTTTAAGCTTTACTAATTCAAGATTTACTATATTAGCACCTAATTAATTAATAAATTGATGATTACGAAAAAGCTTTGCTGTTTGAATATTTAAGTCTTTTGCTGCCAATGTGATTCGTTGTTTTTTTGTGAGCTAGATTTTAATTCTGTATATGAATGCTTGCGATTAGTAGGAATTTTAATTCTTGCTTTATGTAAGCAATCAATATCGAATCCAAATAAAAATATTCCAGAAATGCGGGTATTTGGTTTATTACAAATATCCTATAAAATTTTTTTTTATTTAATATTTATCATTAAGAATTAAAATAAAATATCAATTTTTATTTATATTACCATTAAAAATTTAGTACCAACATCACTTGCAGAAGTTGTACTAATACTTGATAATATATTACCACAAGAATTTATCCAACTAATCTTAAAATTAATATTACCAGCTTGCTGGTATTGGGTTTTATATCTTATAGACAATCCTGCTAAATTAGTTTCAACCTCATATTGATCAGGAATCTGATATGCGATATTATTGTATTTGCAAGTAAATTTGGACAAAGACGGATAGTAGCCAAGATTAATTACTTTGTAAGTACTCCAATAATCTTTATTACCCATTTTACGCATAGCTATAATATATAGAAAATTATTATAAAATATACACCTATTCTCATAAGTTATTAACTTTTGTAATGAGGTTCCTATAATATAAATAGTTATTAAATTTTATATAAGCGTATAATAGAAATACTGTTGTCTCTCTATATTTATGTTTTGTTCAACCATTTTATTCGATGCTTCAACTGATAAATGGTCATTCCATAAACTTTGCTATTTGGTTTATATATATTATCCAAAAAGGTTGAAGTAGCATTTTTGCAAAATGATGCTTCTTCAGATTCAAGTCTATTCAACGTCACATTACTTGGTATACTCGGGTTTGTATTTACAGTAAGTTGAGGTTTTTGCTGAACCTTATGGTGTGACACTTGAGAATTTCTAATAGTTCGGCGACGTTTTACTTTATCTTCATAACGAAATGTCTCAGGTGTAAATGGAGTTGTAAAGATAATCTTGTGCATTTGGGGAATATATCATGGCAATAATAGTATAACGTGAATGTGATATAAACAAATATAGTTTCCAATTAAATTTATCAGGTGATGTTTAGTTTGATCAGAGTATGATTAATGATTACTATAAAAGGGGGATGGCTAAAGCCATGTACCCACGTGATGTGATGATATAGAAATGTGATGATCACATATATTAATTACGTATTGGTATGTACGTACGTACAGTACGTATTACATGTCAGATATCGATATTCATGTACAATACTTGATTTCTTGTACATACGTACGTCT